TTCTAGACCAAAGTGGCCCCCCCCCCCCCCCCAGCCCTCACCCTGTATGTCTGGGCCCTCAGGCATCTGTGTGTGTTCTGTTGAACCCCCACCCCCGACACCAGAGCCCATCACCATCAGTCTTCGCTGTGCTGCCTCAGCAGAGAGCGCAGTATTATTATAATAGGAGACTGTGCAGATTCAACAGAACAGAACAGAACTTGTTGGACAGTATGTTCAGACGTCTTCTGCAACAGTGTTTGTTTGGAGAATCCTGGATGAATTACCAGTTCTGACCTGCCGACTGGTTCTGTTGGACTTTACTACGCTGAGGAGAAAATCATCCAGGCATTCACCAGCAATCAAAGGAGTCTGTTCAGTGACAGTTTAAGTCTTGGGGGGAGGAGGGTGCAATAAATGACTGGTGGGTAAGGGAATGTATCTGCAAAAACTTGTAAAAATCCGTGTAATAACCACAACTTCTGTATATTCATACTTGCTTGTACTAGCCTTCAAGCTAATTTTTGCTTTGAGATACGAGTAAAGACTTGATATACGAGCACGCTTACAGACACCGACGCAAGATGGCCGAGCACTCGGAGCAGCCCATGGCGCCTCACTCGTTCACTTCACGTGTTCGTCAACTTCCGTACGCATCTTTCGCGAGTTTTCCATATTGTGTTTGCACTATTTACGTGATTTTCTCTCTATTTTGTACATAAAGCCCTACTCTACTCTACTCTACTCTACATTATTTTTCATAATAGTGATGAATCCTATGAGAGTGGTAAGGATGGTGCATGATGACCATGGAAATAAAGCATGAAATTGTCGATAAATATGAGCGTGGTGCCAACTAAAGAAAGGATACAAATCAAAAGAAGCAAAAAAAAAAAAAAAAAACAGGAAAGTAAAAAACAAACAAAAAATGTAAGTTAATTCTAAGTTTATGTAAGTGTAGTGTACGTGTAAGGTACGCTACGGAATCAAGTGTCTACGTAGGGGCCAACTTGCTTCCCTCCACCCCCCCCCCCCATGCCACCATTAGCCGCTACAGTATCGTCTGTCTCGAAGGTAAGAACTCATAATTAAGAGCACGTTATTTTAAATCACAGGAATCCTTATATATGTTATAGTTTTTGTGTGTGTGTGTATGTCTCTATAGCAATTAAAACTGAGTTTTTTAGAGGGCGAAAACTGATTAATTTATAGTTATTAGTTAGTTATTTTAGATAAAATATTTGAGATACGATCACCTCGAGTTACGAGCTCGGTCCTAGAAGGGATTATGCTTGTATCTCGAGGTTCCACTGTGACCAGTATACATATATACTGTATATACAATTCTATTTTTTCTATCTAATCTTCTAATCTTGTACATCAGCCTTTAAATTGCGTGGATGTAAGATCATTACGTTCTCCGTTTCTCAGGTACAGCCCTTTTTTTGTTTGAGAAAATGTCATTACAAAGAGATGGTGCCATTAAGTGGAATCAACAGTAATTACAGTTGATTTGCTCTAATGCATGAAACAGAAGGATTTTATCATAACTTGTACCAGTGTTTAGTGGGCCGGATTAAAAACACAGTGGGCCGTATCTGGCCTACGGGCCGTAATTTGCTCAGGTATGGTCTGAAGAAATTGGCTTGAAATAAATAAAGGAGGTGGAGGAAAAGATTCCCTGGAGGTTTGGGAACTAAATTTTAAATTAGTTTTGTTTTAGCGATGTTATCTGGTTTAAAAAGTGGAGCCTATCCATAGATACTAGAGTTTTACAGAGAGTAAATTGTAGACATATAGAGGTATAAAGTTTGTTAAAGCTTTTCAAGTAGTTACTAGTGTGCAATTGTTTGCAGATGACTCTGTGATGCTACAATGAAAGATCATATAAAAACCCTTGACATATTCAGCAAATTAAATTCAAAGTCTTACAGTATACAAATATACATGAGTGCGTTTTTATGCAGATGATGTTGGAATTTACTGAACCCCTGCGCTTTACTGTTACTACATGGATTAGTAACAAACAATGACATCACACATACAGTAGTGAAGAGTAAGTTTACAGCCAACATTAAAGGGTTTTCAAATATGTTTACCACTTTAAGAGAGTCATACAAGTAAAAAATAAGATCTTTAACATTTTCTACATCATGGCCAATCTTTTGTTTTCACAAACTCACCCCGACACACTGCTGTCGGCGGAGCTCTCTGCGATCTGAGAGCTGGCGATCCACTTGGTCTCGCCCACCACTGTTCGGGCATGTGGTACTCGTCCGACATCTTTCACCGTCATCATTAAGTGTCGTGAAGACTTCAGAACTCGGACAGCCTCGTCGTGAGGGATGCTCAGGAAGCTGCGGCCATTCACCTCCAAGATCTGGTCGCCAACCTGCATCGAGGGGAGGGAACAGAGAGGCATGGTGGGAGGGGCTGAGTGAAGTGGAGGTGTTGGTGTCGATGGAGAGGGTGGGGCGGGCAAGGCCTGTAACATTCAAAGGTTCACAGATCCAGAAGGTTAGAGAAAGGTAATGTCACAGACGAAGGTAGTGGAAAAGAAATGTCACGGATCAGAGCACAAAAGTCAAATCGCTGCCTTATTTTGGAGGAAAAAAAAAAAAAAAAGAGGTTGAGTTTCTCTGTTGAAAAGAAATAATTACAGAAAGATTTAAAGCATTCTATTAATGCTGACAGGTTCAAGACCAGCGCTGTTTGAGGTGATTGAAAATGCATTTCCGTGTAATTTCTCATTCTTTCAGCAGACTGAGCCTGCAGGCAGCAGCAAACAGCGGGTGATGATTGTATCCACACTATAACCAGATGTGGATGAGGTCAGGTCCCTGAGGCGTGTCAGAGCACAGACCCTTATGAAGCTGAAGCACCATCTCAGCATCAGCTCTCATCCTTTTTTTTTTTTTTTTATGTCTGCCTTTGTCTCATTGTGGATGAATCAATGCCATTGATTTGTGTGATCCTCCATTTGCACAGCCATCGGTGCCGCTGTGCTGGTGACAGTCGGCCATTTACAAGATGGAAACCTGGAAAGAGCGTGCAGCCTATATTGGCCACAAGGTGTTAAAATACACCCCAATATAGAAAACAGGCATCCCAATTTACAGGCTACTCTAAACGATGCTCACAAAGGGACTGGTCTGTTGCACTTGTGACAACAGGTATATCCTTCACTGCCCACGATAACTGGTGGTGTTCTACCCCAGAGTCTAACACTTAGATCACAGACTGAAAAAAAAAAAAAACAGAACAAAACAGTCCTGTGGTTCTTCTAGTCAGCTGTCCTTATTATTCTTCAGCACCTAGAACCACGATTGCTTATAACAATTTATATCTTCATAAAACTAAACCTGCAACTGAAGAATGTTATTTTTGTAGAAAGTTTGTATTTTATATAAACACACTGACATGAACCAATCACAGCAAGACTCGAGAGAGAAATGTTTTCAAGACACCCTCCGACCCACACCTGGCAAATAAAAATACTATTGAGAACCTGATAACGTGTATATTTTTATCTGTACAAACCACTGTATGAGTTGCTGCCACCTAGTGGCTGGAGGCTTGTTATCATTACAGCAGTGGTACACTTATGTCCAGTGAGCCATATTCCATTGGAAGCCCCTCACGCCCCCCTGAGTCACCTCACCGTGCCCCCTCCAGAGGGGCTCGCCCCACTGTTTGAGAAGTACTGGTTTAGAGTAATATGGACATTGTAAATAAAATGTCACTTCCTGCCATGAGTGTGACAATGGAGGCAGGACCCAGATGCAGCAGGAGGCAGACTCTCTTCAAGTCATCTCACAGGGTAGCAGGAACAAGCAACAAAGAAACAAAGCCCAGGCTTCAAACCAAAACCAAAACCACGACCACCACAGAACAAAGACAGAGACAGAGACATAGTGAGGCCGAGAGGTATCTATACCCAGGGCACCAGGTGACACCAGTGAGATTAATGACAGACACAGGTGAGTGTGATCACACTAATCAACTCCACACAGAGGAGCACCGCGAGACAGACAGACCTCACATATAATTCAATAATAAAAATATCACCAAGAACTGTTCTGCTCTCACTACGTGTCCCTGTGATGGACCTGAGAACTAACCCCACCATCATCAGTGACACCGCGCATTGTCTGCAGTTACCCTGAAAACAACGGACCATAGATGAGGAATTAATGTTGAAAAAACACAAATCAATATGGATTCAGAACTATCGGTTCCTGATGGAACAGAACTGTTTACTCTTAGTCCGCCACGTTAATAATCACCCGTTTGCGTGAAATTCCAAGTTTATTCCAAGCCATTTTATTGCGGGTAAAAACATAAATATTGACTTTATGTGTCGGCACAGCGTCAATGATTCAATCTCCGAGGACGGACTTCATTATTCACAGCTCTTCTCCCTTCAACAGACACTGTGTTTAGAGGCCAATCTGCGGCTATTGATATCACCACTTATTTGTCTGGCATTTAGACTTAATGCTGGGGGTCCAGCGTTTTACAAAAGACCCTAAATGTCACGTTCCTGCCTTATTGCTTTTGGGGCTGCGTTCTCTGTTTTGTGGGCCCAGGGGGAGGGGCGTCGTGGTGTTACTGTGTCTAAGCAACCAAACCCGTGAGGAGCTGTGGCTGCAGCAGCAGCAGCAGCAGCAGGGAAATGACGAACTTGTTTTGTTGAGGTAAAAAAAAAAAAATTGTCCAACAAAAACTCAGTCTAATTTCAGATTCAGTAAAGACTGGATCCAAACCCACAGACTTTACAGGTTTTAAATAGGGATGTCCGATATCCGATATTGTCAAAACACTTAATTTCCAATTCTGATATCAACCGATACCAATATAGTGGGGCAGTGTTGCCTGCTCACGGTGTTTCTCAAGTATTTTCCACCCCCTTAGGGACAGAATTAAATTAAATTAAAATACTATGGAGCACCTGGTAATATTTATTTATTTATTTATCCGTACAAACCACTGTAAGAATTGCTGGCACCAGAATTCTGCATACAATCCTCTGATTATCAATATAGATTAATAAAATTAGCTACAATGCTGCCATCTAGTGACTAGAGGCTTGTTTAGCGCTGATAATGTTCTGTTTATTTGTTGAAGGAGTTAAGAGTTATTTACTGGTATGGGAGAGCGAGTGAGGAGGTGTGGTGAGAGCGCATGTGTGCATGAGGAAGAGAGAGTGCGGAGAGCGTGAAAGGAGGAAAAGGTGTTTTTGGAGAAGCTGGGTTGGGAGCAATAAAGGAGTTTAGAACGAGTTACTGCAATTGTGTTTCAATAAAAGTTCTTCAGAGCACTGAGGCATCTGATTGGTCTGATGCTGGGGCATTAAAGTATTTTTTGAAGCAGTCATTATTTGGCGAAACCCAGGCATTTCGTTATTGGGTTTTCATCACTGGAGGAAGAACCGAAAGATATCGCAAAATATGGTAATATCAGTCGGCCGATGTTATGGGACATCCCTAGTTTTAAAGACTATGTTCTCAGACACCAAGGTGAAACCTGTGAAGTTTGAAGGAGGCAGTGGACAACAGATGAACTGGAAGAGAGTTCACTAGTTACCAAAGAAGCAACAACCTGAGCAGTGATATTGGAATTTTTCTGATCCATAAAATTAAACATCATCACTCATGAAAACTAGTGCAATCATAAAGTTCTCTACTTCAAAAGTCGATTTTTTTTTTAACCATCACAAAAACAGTCTCAGTGATTTTAATTTCAACATTTTAACGTATTATTTTTTTAGAATAAATGTCTCCTCTGTATTCATTAACTTTGGGGGAAAAAAAATGAACAAAAAAGAGAATATACTGTTTTTAATTCTGCTTTTTAAAACTCATCTTCAGTTGAACTTGTAAAAGTATCAAACCACAGACGTTCCTCTGAACCAGAATCCAGAGGGAATAGAATGTGACTCACTTTTAGCTGATGTATTATTGGTGTTAACCTCCTGGAGGCACAACCAGAAACATAAAAATGAGGAATAAAATAAGAAGCTCCTCATCCTGTTCCAGACTAGTGGGTTACCATGAGTTACCAAGGCTAGTTACCAAAAAACATGGTCATTTCCTTTTCAGCTAGAGCCTGGTGTGTGCAGTACTTGTACGCAGCCTGTCCTCTGTTTTCACAGTGTTCCATTTTATTGCGTACCCAAGACATAAAACAGAGCAGTGCCACAGGAAAACATGGGGGGCATTGTTGTGCAGTATGACTCCCGTCCATAAAGGGGACAGCAAAAAGAAGGCACACCAACAGAAACAGTGTATCCACAACTGGGTCTGTCTTTACTCTCCACACCACCACTGACTCCTCTTTCTGTAATATCCACACAGACCACCACTGTCTCCACTGTAGTTTATGTCCACACAGACCACCACTGTCTCCTCTGTCTGTAATGTCCACATAGACCACAACTGTCTCCTCTGTCTGTAATGTCCACACAGACCACTACTGTCTCCACTGTAGTTAATGTCCACACAAACCACTACTGTCTCCACTGTAGTTAATGTCCACACAGACCACTACTATCTCCACTGTAGTTAATGTCCACACAGACCACTACTATCTCCACTGTAGTTAATGTCCACACAGACCACCACTGACACCTCTGTCTGTAATGTCCACACAGACCACCACTGTCTCCTGCTCTTTTTTGATGTCCACACAGACCACTACTGTCTCCACTGCCTTTAATGTCCACACAGACTACCACTGTTTCCACTGCCTTTAATGTCCACACAGACTACCACTGTTTCCACTGCCTTTAATGTCCACACAGACTACCACTGTTTCCACTGCCTTTAATGTCCACACAGACTACCACTGTTTCCACTGCCTTTAATGTCCACACAGACTACCACTGTTTCCACTGCCTTTAATGTCCACACAGACTACCACTGTTTCCACTGCCTTTAATGTCCACACAGACTACCACTGTTTCCACTGCCTTTAATGTCCACACAGACTACCACTGTTTCCACTGCCTTTAATGTCCACACAGACTACCACTGTTTCCACTGCCTTTAATGTCCACACAGACTACCACTGTTTCCACTGTCTTTAATGTCCACACAGACTACCACTGTTTCCACTGCCTTTAATGTCCACACAGACTACCACTGTTTCCACTGTCTTTAATGTCCACACAGACTACCACTGTTTCCACTGCCTTTAATGTCCACACAGACTACCACTGTTTCCACTGTCTTTAATGTCCACACAGACTACCACTGTTTCCACTGCCTTTAATGTCCACACAGACTACCACTGTTTCCACTGTCTTTAATGTCCACACAGACTACCACTGTTTCCACTGCCTTTAATGTCCACACAGACTACCACTGTTTCCACTGTCTTTAATGTCCACAC